TATATATATATATATATATATACATATGTATATGTATGTATATATATGTATATGTATGTGTACATAGTATAAATTATATTATTTATGATTTATAATTATAATTTATTTATTTATTTTAAATAAAGTATATATAAATTCAGAGTGAGTGGAGTCACCGCGGAGAATCATACGAGCTGCCGACCCGTTGAAGCACGCAAGACCGGACCCCGAGCCCCGGCGTCACGTGCTCACAAAGGCCAGATTCCGAGCCCTGGCAGGAGGGGGGACCCGGACATTTACTTGTTTTTTTTTTTATACATTTTATGTATAAAAAATAATGTTTTTTTTAATCAGTGAAGAATAAAAATAAATAAACTGTGCCGGTTTTATCATGAAATCCTGTTTTCACTTTGACTTTATTAAATAATCAGTTAATTAAAGTTAACTCAGCTGAAAAATCATAAAAAGACTAAATCTCTCAGGAATATTTCTCTCAAACATGTTTAAAGAAGAGCCTTTGGTTCAACTTTATTATTACCCACAGATGTACAAATCACAAAACAAGAATTAAACTTTAAAACAAAGCCAAAAGAAAATCTGTATACAAGAAACAAAACCACATATCTAAATTGAACAATAAAAGTAGACACAATGAGTGCAAATACATCAAATGATGAAGAAAAATATAGAATTTTAAATATAAAATGTTTTTGTAGAATCTGGTTCATCAGATTTAATTCAATTCAGTTTATTTATATAACGCCAAGTCACAACAGAAGTCGTCTCAGTGCACTGAACAGAAACATTCATATTTAAAAATAATAATTTAACATAATTTATCTGAGGAGCAGACTGCATTGAATTTAACTCATCACAGAGCTCTCACTCAGTGAACTAAAGTTCATTAAAAGTTCATTAGCAGGATTTAGGATTCTGGACACGCCTCCAGAACCCGTCCTGAAGTGTTGTGCAAATCCAGGCTGATCTGAGCAGAGTTGAGCAGAGTTGGGGCTGAGTGGGAGTGGTGCAAAAGGTCATTATGTTACAGATCTTATTGTTCCATATTTTCCTAACGGAGCACTTCGCTCTCAGGCTGCAGGTTTACTTGCGGTTCCTAGAGTTTCCAAAAACAGAATGGGAGGCTGAGCTTTATCAGGCTCCTCTCTTGTGGAACCAACTTCCAGTTTCTGTCCGTGAGGCTGACACATTATCCAGTTTTAAGACTGGGCTTAAGACTCTTTTTTTTTTTTTTTTTGTAAAGCCTATAGTTAGGGTCAGCTTGGGTTTCCTGAACTGTCCCTCAGTTATGCTGCTATAGGCTTTGACTGCTGGAGGACAAACTGACCACATTTTTTCACTCTGCTACTGTCTTTACTTACTCTGCTCAACCTGTTTTGTATTTGTAATTATTTTTTCTATCCTTAACATGTGTTTTTTTGTCTTTCAGATACATTTGGACCTATACCTGGACCTACCATTCTGTGTTCGTCTGTCTCTCCTTCCTGTCCTCTCAAAATCAGCCGGTCAAAGCAGATGGCCACTTGTCCTGAGCCTGGTTCTGCTGGAGGTTTCTTCCTTTAAAAGGGAGTTTTTCCTTTCCACTGTTGCCACTGTGCTTGCTCAGGATGGGAGACTGCAACGAAGCCAAGATTCAACTTGTCTGCTGGATTCTTTAGATAGAGAACTTTACTAATTGGCTTTTCTATGTATGTGAATGTTTCTGTAAAGTGCCCGGAGACAACATTGTTGTGAATTGGTGCTATATAAATAAATTGAATTGACACCAGTCATCAGACGTGAGCAGAGCTTTAATAAAAGTGCATGAGCAGTAAAAGGGGACTGGTTTTTTATCAAACACAAACATAATATGTATTACAGAATTCAGAGACAAGTGGGAGAAGCCTGCATCACTGATGGTATAGGGTTGCATGAGCGTTTGTGGCATGGGCAGCTTGCATGTCTGGAAAGGCACCATTAATGCAGAGAACTATGTTCAGGTTCTAGAACAACATATGCTCCCATCTAGACATCATCTCTTTCAGGGAAGACCCTGCATTTTTCAACACGATAATGCCAGACCACATTCTGCAGCAATCACAACATCATGGCTACGTAGGAGAAGGATCCGGGTACTGAAATGGCCAGCCTGCAGTCCAGATCTTTCACCTATAGAGAACATTTGGTGCATCATAAAGAGGAAGGTGCGACAAAGAAGGTCCAAGACGATTGAACAGTTAGAGGCCTGTATTAGACATGAATGGGAGAGCATTCCTATTTCTAAACTTGAGAAACTGGTCTCCTCTGTCCCCAGACGTCTGTTGAGTGTTGTAAGAAGAAGGGGGGATGCCACACAGTGGTAAAAATGGACTTGTCCCAACTTTTTTGGGATTTGTTGATGCCATGAAATTTGGAAACAACAGATTTTTCCCTTAAAATGATACATTCTCTCAGTTTTGATCTGTGATTTGTGTTCTATTCTGAATAAAATATTAGATGTTGGCACCTCCACATCATTGCATTCAGTTTTTATTCACAATTTGTTTAGTGTCCCAACTTTTTTGTTATCCGGTTTGTAGGATTTGGACACACAGGACTTAACAGCACATTATACAAGATTCAGAAACACAATGCAGGTCAATGTGAGCACTGTGGACAAGAGGAAACAATAAAACAGGTCATTTTGGTTTGTCAGAAACATGATCATCACAGAAGACGTACGATAGAAGGAAATATCAAAGAATACGCTGGTGAAGATTCAGGACATTTGTTTTTAACTTTTTTTTTGAAAATCAAAGAAACATTTAGTATAATACATATATTACAAAATGAAACGAGAAGTAGAAATATTCAAATTATTAAATATTTTTATAGAAACACAAAATTAGAAAAGAAAACATAAAAATAATTGCAGACGTCGTTTTTGAGCCACACTCCGTACCAGTTGGGGGCGCTAATGCACACCTTCCGTAAAAACACATTTAAGAAGAGGCTTTGTACGTTTGTAGCAGAGTAGATCCGTGATTTATTCCAATTCCTAATGAAAAAATACTTCTCTTGAGTCAAATAGTTTATTTTGTGATTTAGTTCCAAGCTGCTGTTGCCAGTGGTTTGTAGCGCTGCAGCTAATTGCATGTGGAGAGTCTGTTAGCACGTGTAGCTGTTAGCAGCTCCGTCTCGTGCTTGGATAATCTAGTGTGGTGACTGCATCATCTTGCTGCGTATGAGCAGGAGCTACATGTCAGACCACCACCAAGCACACGTTTTAGGGTGACCAGATGTTTCCGATTTTCGGGGACAGTCCCCGTTTTGGACGACCTGTCCCCGATTTGAGCTTTTTATGAATGAGAAAAAAAATGTTGCGTGGTTCGCGGGCGCAGTTACGTGCAACAACCGCTCGCGCCGGCGCTGCAGCGCTGACGTTACAGACAGAGAAGAAGAAGAAGAAAAGCCACGCGCGCCGCCTTTAAAACAGAAGAAGAAGAAGCGCAGCGCGAGCTCGTCAACACTGTTGGGGATTTCTGTGATGGTATGTATGAACGGATTTATTTAGTTTGGACTGGGCTGATCCTTGCCGTGATAAAAGTTTGGTTCGTGGTAGGAAATATTTCTAGT